TGAGGCTTTGGGGGGGCACCCAGACACAAACCATAACACCTTGAAGAGATAAAAGGGAGAGGCTTGTGCCTCACTGCTTGCTGCTGCTTTTTCTGCTTTGCTGCCTTCTTCCTGCCATGAACTATTTCTCCTCTGTCTCTCTATCAAGGTACCCTGCCTTGGAGCCAGCCAAATATGAACTGAAACCTCTACAAACTGAGTTAAATACACTTTTCCTCCTTTAATTTTGGGTGTCAGGTATTTTGTCTCAGCAATGAGAAAAAATAACTAGGTCATTTACTATGTACCAGGCACTGGGGCACAGTAATACAAAAGGCAGATGTGGTACTGCTGTCATGGAACTTGCATTTGGAAAAACGCAGGAGGGCTGGAAAGGTCTGCATTAGACTGGATATTCAAGGAACTTCTCTTTGAAGAGGTAATGTTTAAGCTGAGCTCCAAATGACAAGAAGGCTCCAGCCAAGAGGAAATTTGGGGGACAGGTGCTTCAGACAGAAGGGCTGGAACAGCAAGTGCAAAGGCCCCGAGGCAGGAGTGAGCTTGGTTTTCCAGGAGATGGCACAGCAGCCTGGCTGAGGCAGTGGGAGTGATTTCAGGGAGTGCAGAGGCTGAGGTTAGGAGCATGGGTTTTCCTCCAAGCCCAGCAAGGAGCCCTCAGAGAGTTGTAGTAGCTGAGGGACACTTTTGAACTTATGTCTTGAAAGATGGCTTTGCCTGCTTTGCAGAGAATGGATGGTTGGGAGGGCACAGTGGGGAATCAGGAAGATCTATTATGTGGTCAGGGCAGGATGGAGAAGGGGAACTGTTTGGGCAAAGCAGCCCCTGGAAAGGTGGAGAGAAGAGGAGGAATTATGAGTAATTGGGAAGAGGCTAAAGCTTCAAATCACCTGAACAAACAATAGCAAACCCCTACATTTTAATAACACACCTAGGAACTACCTGTTGCTTTCGCTTCTATGACCCAGCCACAACTCTGAGAACCAGTTCTGGCTGGGCTTCTTAGCCACACCGCGGAGAGAAGGAGCTGGCTGGCCTGGGGTGAAACGTTCATCTCAGTCTTCAGGCCAGGTCCAGGGCCAGACTTCCGGAAGGGCAGGTGAGACAGTGTGGGCGAGGGAAGTCACAGCTCCCTGGTGGGCCACACGCCAAAGATGGACAGAGTAGATGCTGAAAAAATGTGGGATGAGTCAGTGAATCAGCGAATGGAGGAAGGAGGGAGGGAGAGTGAATGGGCGATAATCACCGAGGATGGCTGCTGGGCCATCACTCCAGGTGGCAGGGACTGGACAGAGCACAGCCCCATTCCCTGGCTGGGGATGGGGAGACTGAGGCTGAGAGTGCCTGGGGAATCTGTCCAAGGAAACCCAGATGTCATTTCTGCTATATGGTCAGATTCTGAAGCTGGGTCTCGATGGCTACTTTACCTCTTTCTGGGGGTAGGGGCAGGAGGAAGGGAGGGAGAGGAAGAGAGAAAGGGAGAGAGGGAGAGGAAGAGGGAGACAGAGAGAGAGAGGGAGGGGGAGGGGGAGAGAGAGAAGCACGGGTGGGATTGTGGAGGACTGGACTTCCTTGTGGCAGCTCTACCCTTTCTGTGAAGCTGCTGGCCACTGCCCCCTGACCTGCTTTTTCAGGAAGAAGTGCTAGTGGAGCCTTGGGCCAGATCAAGTGACAGTGATTCTCTGGAAAAGACTACTGACCATTCTGCTTCCATGTGGGTCAGCATCCGTCTCATGGCCCTTGCCACTAGGGAAGCAGCTCTCGATGCTACAAAGTACCTGCCCCGCCTTTTGTCCACCACTGCTCTATTCTGTTCATGCACAGTGTCCCTCCCTCAATTCATGAGGGCTTCAGGGCAAACTTGTCCCCCTGGGGATGGATAGCAATGGGCTGGGGAATGTAACTTTAAGAAAACATTTTCTTCCTGGCAGGCCTACGGCACGTGAGGAAGTGTGCAGAAGACTCCAGCAGTTGCAATGTTTGCGAAGGGAGGGAATGCATGGGATGTATTTAGGGAGATTGGAGATGGTGGGATTGTCTCTTGGGGAGCTCATGTGTGGCTTAAGGGAAGGGAGATGCTCAGCTGGATAGGATGGTTCTGGCCCTCATCCCGGGAAGTTTGAACAGGAAGGACACTATCCCTGGGGACAGCTGGGCTTGGCTTCCTACACTGCCCTGTCAACCTGGGGTCGTGCCAGAGCTTTCCTCAATTTCAATTTCCTTATCTGTAAAGAGAAGATGACCGTACAGTCCCTTCAAAATTGTGAGTTTTAAGTAAAGAGATGATATAAAGGTAGAGTGTGGGGGCCCAGGTTATGTACTCAGCAGATGTTAGGTTCCCTCCCCACCGTCCTCACACCCAGCTCACCCCCGCATCTCCTCCCAGCGTGTTTGGAGGACACGATATGATATGAGCTGCTGTGCTGCCTGGAGTGGTTAGGGAAAACAGGGTGAAATTTTGGGTCTGTGTCTGGCGACAGCAGTGATGTTAGAGCCTATACTCTGGGAGGAGTCCTTGGAATCAGATAAAGTTCTGTGGTCCCTCTGAGGATGGAGGCTCCTTTTTTAGCCAGCACTGGGACAGGTGGGAGATGAGGTCGAGCAGGGTACAGGAGACATTGTATTAAAGCTGGGCCTGGAGGGATTGGAGGTGGGGGACTTAGATTTGGGGAAGTAGGAGGTGAAGGGAAATTCAGTAGAGATATCTGGGGATGTATTGGTTGGTGCCAGAGAGGGAAGACCGTGCAGTAGTTGTGCAGCCCTGCCTAGTTGGAGGGTACAAGGAGAAAACACAAATCTGAGAAAGTTAGCTGCTGTCATAACATGAAAAATCTTGAATTATAACTGGGGAGTTTGAACTTTATGTCAAAGGCACTAGGGAGCCATTGAAGATCTTTAAGCAAGATCATGGCATGCTGTGGTTTAGGCAGGTCAATCTGGTGCACAGAACAGGGTGGAGTGGCAGGAGGTGATCACCGTGACCTAGGTGAGAGGTCAGGAGGCAGAATTCCCATAGCAGCCACAAGAGAAGATGGGGTGGGAGGGGCGTTTTGTTAATTGTTCACAATTTTTTTGTTGACTTTTAATTATGAAAAATTTAAACACTTACTAGAGCAGAAAAGTGCAAACACATACTAAGAAAAATTTAATGAGCCCTTCTGTGTCTATTCCTTAGCTTCCACAGTGATTAATGTGGCCCATTTTGTTTATTCCCTAGTTCTTCCATTTCTCCCTTCCACAGTATTTTGTGGCACGTCCAAGGCATGAAACTATTTCACGGCTTTTGTAGGACACGGGAGGAGCAGTGTTTTGGCATCACAATGATGGGCTGGGCCACCTTGGTGTGGTTTCCTGTGACTGTCACTTGTTTTTTGTGCAATTGTAAGGCTGGTCTGGGTCTCGCTGGTCTGGGTGTCTCTAGAGGGCAATGGTCACTCTATAGTCACCATGTCATTTTCTTTCCCCTACACAGTGTTTGGTGTATGGTGCTACCAGTGCTGTGAGCAACTCACCGAAGAAGCCTGTCCTTGTACCTTTCAATCCATGGCCACTCTGACCACAGGCTCTTTTTCTGCTCAGCTTGTGCTCTGGCTGGGTTCCTAAATATTTTGAGTTTTCGGTAAACAGCAACAACAACACAACAACAGCTTTAGCATAGGTCTGTCCCAAAGATCGCATGAGACATCCTCATACTAACGTAAATTATTTGTGATCCTGTTTGTATTTTGTTTTGGTTTGGCTAAATCTCATCATCCACCTGCTCTGGTCTTCTCCAGGAAACCCTGCAGAGCAAATCCCTTGTCTGTCTTAGAGTTGTGGTTCTCCAGGGTGGCCTTGGGCACCAGCAGCATCAGCAAGGCTTAGATCAAAATAGAAAATCCCAGGCCCACCTAGAATGACATGGTCCTCTGGGTTTGACATCTTCGGGGTGATTCTGATGGAAACTGTGGTTTGAGGGCCAGTGACCTAGAGAATGATGTGTCACTCTCTTGATCTGCTGCTCACCAGCCACGTTCACCAGACACGTAGCAACACCAGGGACCTCACAAAGGGCTCTTCCCTGGGCGTCTGCGTCCTGGTCTATGACGACGGACCTCACAAGCTCTCGCAAGAAGACTGCTCCGCGCTTCGCCTCCGGGAGCAGTGCTGCCCGCTCTGGTCTGTTCCTGAAACTGCAGAGGGCTGTGAACCAGAGAATTAATTCTTCAGGCGGGATTTTCCAGGAGCGGCGGGGCGGGGCCTGGTGGCAGAAGGGACACGTGTGTCAGGGGGGGAAGCAGGAAGTGACTGCGGGAGTGGAGCCGGTGGAGCGAGCGGCAGCGGGGCTGATGGAAGTGGAGTGGGGGCTGGAGAGGGCACCCCAGTGAGTCGGCTTTTCTCTCCTTCAGCGCCTGCGGTTGGGCCCGAGGCCGGGGACTGGGGCCGTCAGGACGACAGTGTGGGACCTAAGGGCAGCACCCTGGAGTTCGGAAAGGGGTGCCCCGGGCGACAGAAGGGAAGGGGCTGGCGGCAAAACTGGAGGCTTTGGCAGGTGGCAGCGGAAGGGGGATGCCCCTTCCAGCCTCTCCCGTCCAGGGCGACCGCACTCAATGACGTGCGGCCTTTTACGGTCCTCAGACAGGATCCTCTTCATTCATTGCTTCCTGGTTGGGTGTGTGGGGATCCCGGATCCTTGGGAGCAGAGGTGGCTACAATTCCAGCATCTCAGAGGCTCCTCCTACTGGCTCTTAAATCTGACCGGGAATCCGTTTAACCTCCAGCAGGCCTGGCTGAGGCCTCAGACTGTGCTTGTCTCACCTCCGCTGGTTCTGCGACCACACTTGGAGCAGCAAGGTATCAAGAGAACTTTCCCACAGTCGCACCCACCCAAACCTGAGTCTTCCCCGGCTTCCCCTGGTGGTGTCAGAGCCTCTGTGTGCAGTTTCACCAAGGCCCAGGCAGCACAGGCGTTGCTTCTACTTCTGCAACTTCACTGATACCTTAACGCTGACTCTTAGAAGCAGAGCAACAGGTCTGAAAGGGGAGGAAAATACAGAGCGGAAACCTGTAGGAATGCCTCCTGCGCCTCTGTAGCAGAATGTGTATGTGCGTGGGGTGGTGTTGGCTTCTTTGAAGTTGGAGTGGGCAGAAAAGGAGCCTCTCTCCTGCTAACTCTTCAGGGCTGATGGTGTTAATATCCAGCTAATGAGGAAGCCTGAGCCCCATGGTATGTGGCTTTGGAGGTACAGTGCTGGCACACCACACTCCTAAGGGGCTACTGGTCTACCTGTCAGAGACTTTTTTTTTTTTTTTTTGTATTCTTTACTGGCCTTACCAATCCCCTGCAGTGCAGGATGCATTACCATTTAGGCTCTTGGTCTTATAGACATCATTTCAGTTTCAGAACAGTGCCTTCCACACTTTCTTATGTAGTAGAATCCCCCGTGCAATTGGATAAGACCTCGATTCAGATTCAAAGTCTGGGTTGGGACCCACGATCTGTGTTTTAGGCAGTTCTCAAAAGGGACCAGGTTTGGTCCTTGGGCCACTCATTGAGTAGAGAGACTTTCAGACAGCAAATAGGAGACACTTCTCCAAGGGATGCTGAGTTGAAAGGGGTCCTGATAAATGTTGGGGCGGCAGAGATGTGGCCTTGTCCCTTTTCTCCCTTCTCAGGATGCTCAGGTATAAGAGGGGACAGTTTAGAAGAGCGTTTTCCTATTCTGTTAACCACCAGGAACACCCATGATCTCCTTTCTGTTCATCAGCTCACAGAATCCACTTTGACTTTGGTCTGTTGGCACACAGCCTTGTTTGTTTTCCTCTGTAGCTGTTAAAAGGCAAATTCAACTACCAGGGGAACTAAAGGTGTTATGTGTTAGATCTGTCTTGAATGATAAATAATAAGAGGAGAATAGCTCTGTCTTTGTAAATGTTTGAAATTTCATCCCCAAGCAGCTAGAAATAGACAATGGGTGTAATGATCCAGGTATCTTGGTTAAAAAAAAAAAAAGCAACGCACAAATCACTCTTTTAGGGTGGCTTAACAAAATGACAAATGTAAAAAGAATAGCTTCTTAAAAATGGTTTATTTTCATTAGTTAGTGCAGTCACCACCTGAGTTCTCTGGGACTCTGGGGACCACAGTCTGAACAAATCATCTTATCTCAGAACTTTCCTAGCACAGAGCAGAGCCGGGGCTCACCTGGGCTTACCTGGGTTTGTCTGGGACCATAGTCTTCCCCAGGTATGAACCTGCTGTGTCGCTGAACCCTTTGGTGTAAGGGCCGCTGCCACCCTCTGCTATGGTTTCCAGGGTCAATAGGGACAGTGTACTAGCTGTTGGTCTGTGGCTTTGGGTGGCTGGCTCCTCAGTACCAGGGCTGGCAAGACTGAACCTCTTGGGGTTGTGTCCAGCCCTGTGGGTGACAGAAGGCCAGTGGGAGCTGAATGAGGCCTTTGAGACAAGCCTCTGGGCCTTAGGGACCAGAACACAGAGCTGTGCCACACATAAGTTCCTCTGCCCTATAACTTCCCACACGGAGAGATCTGACTCCTTGTCATTTCAGAGCTAGCACTTAAGCATGTTCAAAGTTGGAGGAGGTTTGGGGTCCCGTAAGAGGGAAGGGCATTTGTCTTCTCTTAATGGGCAGTGGTATGACTTTAGCTTTAGCAGCAGTGTGCTGGATTGGCCTGGGGAAATACTACTTTTAGGTCTGTTTCCTTGTCTTTGCCAACTGTCCTGTCCAGCTTTGCTGGCCTTTTCCAATTCAGCACATGTTTTTCAGAAGCCACAAAACCTTATGCCAGAGGGTTGTGGAAACGCACAACCCTTGTTCTTAAGTAGCTCAGGACACAAAAGACCGAGGAGACCCACTCAGAGCCATTGCCTGGGTAGGAGGATCAGGAACGCATTTCTCGTGAAGTTGGCAGCAGGGGGGTTCCAGGGGATGCCCTGGGATCCAATGGCTGGTCATGTGGAAGGAAGGTATTCTGGGAGGGAACTGTGTGAACAGAGGCTTGGACAAAGGACTGGCTGGAGATCCTTTAATGTACCGTAGAGAATTTGGTTGAGCTGGATCATGGTGCCTGTGCAGAGTGTAATAGAGATGTGGGCTTGAACAGTCCATGGGGGAATGGAAGATCAGTGGGTGGAATTTCCCCTTTAGCAGTCCGGGGATTGAGAGCTCTGTTTGGGAATGAAATGGAAGAGCTTTAAAAGGGAACCTGAGCTAGTTACCTGCATCTGGAGGAGAGACCAAACAGCAGGCAGGGGCAGGTGGAGTATGCAGAATGAGCCCGAGATAAGCCCCTGACTGTGTCAGACCTTGGAACCCTTCCTCCTGGCTATATTACCTGAAACCTTTGTGCTTCTTCTCCAGAACTAATTCTCAGTGTTGCAACCTCTTGTGAGGCTCCCTACATGTTCCCACATTGCTTTTCAGAGTAGATACCTTTCAGTGCCTGGGGACCGGGATGGAAAAGCTTGACCTGTGTGCTGGGTTGTGGAGGACCCTTGCGTTGGTGTGGCAGAAGGGCGCATGCCACCACTCCAGATGGAAACAACTTAAACAGGAGAGTGAGGACACTGAAGAAAATGTAATTGTCACTGAAAGGGACCTCTGGTGGCTGACTCTTTGCTCCTCTGCACACAGCTATATCCACCATGCTTCAAGGCCACAGCACTGTGTTCCAGGCCTTGCTGGGGACCTTCTTCACCTGGGGGATGACAGCAGCTGGGGCAGCACTCGTGTTTATATTCTCTAGTGGACAGGTGAGTCGCCATGCTTTGGTTCTGCTGGTGGGCGGGCTCTTTGATGGCCCTGCCTGCACATGCAGGGGCTGGGTTTTGGTTACATCGTCCCCTGTCTTATTTCCTGCCCAATTCCCTTCCCAGCCAGGAGAACAGGTGCAGACACCACGCATTATCTTTTCCTCCTTTCTTGCCTCTGACAATCTGGTTTGAAGGGATTGGGAGTGAGGAACCCAGCCTAACTTCTAGTTTCCATCTGATTTCTTTTGGGTCTGGAGTAGAGGATACCATGCAGGATCAAAGTGGATTAGAGTTCAGATACATCTGTCCTCCCCTGTTGCCTTGGCTTAGCTGGGATGATTGAAGAGACCTTGGAGGAAGCAAGGAATCTGGTGCCTTTCTCTTTTACCCCAGCCCCAGGATTTTGTATTTCCCCTCCTTGGATAAGAGGCCCCCTTCCCATGTCCCTGCAGAACCCGTATCTCCCTCTGCTGTTCCCAAGCATCTTCACCCTTGGGATGAATACAGAAGGCCACCTTCCCATTCCCCTGAGACCTGACACCTCCCACCCCTGTGCCTCTGCATCCTCTTTGTATCCTGCTCAGACCCTCTTTGCACCCTTGTTCACTCTTAGGCCCCTACAGTGTAGTCCTGAACCCTTTGTATACCCGATACTCCTCATCTCTTTCTTCTCCATGCCCCACATCCCTAAGTCCATATACCTTGCCTATATACCCAGCCCAACCTCCCCTCACTGTATACACCCACACAACCCACACCCACCTCCCATGCCTAAAATCTCACTCTTCTGTCAACCCTGGGCTCCCCCATTCCCAGACCCAGAGCCCTGGATGATATCTTGATGAATGCACGTGAAGAGGTGTCTTAAGATCTATTTAAATGTACCGTGAGACTGATCTAGAAGCAAAGACACACTGGGAAGTTGGCAGGTCAGGCATCCTGTGTTAGAGACCAGTCCAGCAGGTATTGATTTCAGCAACAGGATCTGGCCTCCCACACTGCCTCCCTACCTCCTGGGGGAGGCTTGGAGCCAATCCATCAGAGACTTGGAACTCAAATCCCACAACGTGGAATCACAGGGTACAAGACACTTACAGATGGCAATTTCATAGAAATAGAAAGTGGAGCAGTGGTTGACAGGGCCTGGTGGGGAGGGAGAAGGCAGAGTTCTTGGTAGAGAAGAGTTGTGAGCATGGACGGTTTATTTCTCTTAGCATAATGCCCTCAAAGCTCAGCCATGGTGTCCCATGTGCCAGATTTTGCTTCTTTTAAGGCTGAAGAATACCTGATTGTATGTGCACACCATGTTTTGTGTATCTGTTCATCTATGGATGGACACTTAAACCTTTTGTCATTAGAATATAAGATTCATCTAGAAAAGTGCACATTTTATAAGTGCACAGCTGATTGCTTTTCACAAATGCCCCTGAAGCTGTGTCCGGATTAAGTATCGGCTTCTCACAGCCCCTTCCTGTGTATTTCCAGGCTCCCCCGCCCCTCACCACCTCCACTCCGCTGCTGTTTCATAGCATGGCTGGTTTTCCCTGTTTTGGTGTTTTATTTAAATGGAGTAATTTTTATACAGTATGTCCTGGTCCATGTCTGAGTGAATTCATCCTATCTGTTTATTTAATGTCCTTGCCTGTTTGTTTTATGTATATGTATACAGACATATATGCATACATACAAACGCACCTATGGCACGTGCCTGTGTTTTCTCACTGTCCTGTGATCTTCTGTTGTATGAATATGCACTCATTGCTGTATCCATTCTACATCTATGGGAATTTGGATAGTTTCTGGTTTTGGTGTCTCACACATGGTGCTGCTGTGAACATTTCTGCAAATGTGTTTGGTGACTCTGAGTATGCAGTTCTGTTAGTCATTATGCAGGAGAAGTGTGGGTTGCAGTCACTTGTCTGAGGTGCCACCTAATCGTTTTCTAACGAGGTCATGCCAGTTTGCACCCTGACCTGTGAGAGGGATTGGTATTTGTGCCTGCTCCTCCTCAAACCTTTGTAATGCCCATCTTTTTGAGCAGCTACTTACTAAAGTTTGTGGTGGTGATTTGCAGGGGTGCTGAGTAAGAAACATCCTGTGGGCCTTTGCATCCCTGCCACTCCAGGGAAGGACAGTTCTGATCAGTTCTGGGAGGGATGGAATGTTTCAAAATTTCTTCTCCCTTGGCTCATGGCCCATTTTATAAACTCAGGAGTTCACCAGCTACGGAGTGGACCTATGGCTCTCTTGGGTTAGAGAGGGCCAGTGGTTCAGTAGGCCAGTTGCTCTCTTGGCCTGGGGCACATCATGCTGTTGCCCCTCAGAAACTGAAGCACCTTCTTTGCATTTTCAGAGGCGGATCCTGGATGGAAGCCTTGGCTTTGCTGCAGGGGTAAGTTGCGTGTTGGAGGAGATATATTTATTTTGTCATTTTTCTGTCAAGCATCATTTATCTCTAGTCTCTTCTTGAGTAACCTAAATATATCTCTGGGTTCTCTAAGTGCTTATGATTTCCCATACTCATTCCCCAGCTTATTGGATGTCCTGCTTCTCCTTAGCTGGTGGTGGAGGAGGCTTGTACGGTAGCTGTTTCGAAACTTAGAAAATAAGATAATATATGACTGAGCTATAAAGAAGGATAAACTCAAGCCTTTTATAGGTAAATGGATGCAACTCGAGACCATACTCATAAGTGAAATAAATCAGACTCACATGTGTAAACATGGTATTGTCTCCCTAGTATAAGAAACTGAAAGAGTAAATAAAATCCAAAAGGTACAATAGATATTGTGAAAGGGAAAGAAACTGCTCAAAAGGAAAAAACAACTGGGATGAGGGAAAGGAGAAAAGAAAGAAAGAAGAAAGGGAAACATATATACACACACAAGATAGCTAAGATAATTTTACTATTCATTTCTATTGGTTATTGAAAGAAATTGTTAATGCTTAATTTTTTTTGATCAATTTTGCATGCCTATATCTGGTAATGTGAACAACTACTTTGAAGAAAACAATATGCAATATAATAATCATTATTGATTTCCTATCATGTTTTGAAATTTTGTATCATTTTTAATGTTTTTAAAAAATTTCTTATTCTCTTTAAAAAAAGATAATATTTAGGAAGGGTCTAGCAGGGGGATACACAACACAGTTAACACTAATTAAATGATTCTCTCCTCCTCTTCTTCCTTGTTAAAAGACTTTTTTTTTTTTTCCGGTACCGGGAATCGAACTCACGACCTTGCGCTTGCCAGGCAGGCGCTGTGCCACTGAGCTAAATCCTCAGCCCCTAAAAGACTTTTTATTATAAACATTTTCAAGCATGTAAAAAAAATTGAAAACCCATATACATCCCACATATCCACCACCCAGCTTCAATCAGGATTCATATTTTGTTAATTTCATTTCATCTGTCTTTCAGCCTTTCTGGGAAGTTGTAATATTTTGTAACAACAAATTGCAGACATCATGTAATTTTGCCTGTAAATTCAATATATACCCTTAACTGAATGACTTAAAAAATCAGAATTACCAATACCTTTATTACATCTACTAAAATTGTTTTTTTTTCTTTTTTAGTAAAAACTAACAGCCAATCCATGTTCAAATTTCCTGTATTTTTTCAAGGTTGTTTTGGTAGAATTGGGATCCAAGCAAAATTTTCTTGTTGGATTTGTTGCCTTTTAAGTCCCATTTTTTTCAAAATAGTAATTTGTTGGTAAAACTGGATAGGTCATTTGTTTCTAGAGTGTTCCATATTCTGATTTTGGCCCACTGCTTGCTTGTGTTGCGTAATTTTCTCCTCAGGCCCCTCCATCTCCTGTAAGGTGGGAGTCACACCTGGGCTTGATTAATTCAGATTTCTGTATTTAATCTGTCATAGCGATGCTGTGTATTCCTGTTACACTGGTGACACTGGAAGGCACATAATACATGGTTTTCTCTTTTCGTTGATCAAAGTTTGGTTCCTCTGTGCTGTCTTATAGTCCTGTGACTGGAAAATCTTGCCTGGGGTGAACCTCCCTGAGGTCATCTGCAGCTATCAGAGGAGGGCCTGCCTTGGAGAACACAGAGGCTCTGTGAGCCCTGCCCAGGTGTGCTGAGGGCCATAGCTAATCAGTGTCCAGGTCCCAGCTTTTCTCTCTGTTGTTTTACTTTCTCATGGCTGGAATGTAATACCTGACACCAACTGAAAAGAGGAGAAATTTATTTTGGCTTGCATTTTGGAAGTTTCAGGCCTTGCATGGTTGGCAGCGAGGTGGAAGGGCCTGGGTGGAGGATGGCCTCTCCCCTCAAGTCAAACAGGAAGCAGCGCATTGAGGGAGGACCTAGGAAGGCTGAGGTATCCTTCTGAGCCACACCCACAGTAACCCAACGCTTCCAGCCAGGCCTCACCTCCTAACAGCAAGTCTGCTACTATGGCCCGTAATCCAGTATCCTTCCAGACACTAGAGGCTTTAGGAGCTATTTTAGATCAAAACCATAATACCTGTATTCTCCTTCCTAACTGCTGTGTCTAAGGATGCCCTGGAAGTAGTGCTCTTTTCCTCCCTTCCCTTGCTCAGCTTCCTGCTCACCCAAAAGAGACAGGCTCTTTCCTGTTACCTGTCTCTAGCTAGAACCGTCTCCAAGCTCGAACAGAGGGATCTTTGGACCATTGGTGTTGGTGTGGGGAAATGAAGGGAAGAACCCTAATCACCAATCACTGGACATAGATCCTTTAGCAATGTAGCTATTGTCTTGATTTTTAAAGATGGCTCTAATCAAATTGTCACTGGTGAGATCCAAAGTAATTTTCCATGATGGATCTGGATCATGATGGATCTGGAGCTGGTAAGTTAATAAAAGTTGAAAGGACAGAATGACAGTGTTAGAACACTTCTTTTTCTGTTTTTCTCCCAACTTCTCACTTGCACAAATGTATTTTCTCTTTGCTTATGTTAATAAAGAAAAGAGAACCCAATGAAAAATAGCAGTAAAACTGATGGTTAGCTCTGTCTTATTCTAATAATGACTACTTAATAATTATTCACAGAAGTGTGAATGAATTAAAAAGTAAGAAAGGCCCATTCATTAACATGTGCATATTTCTAAGAGTATTTAACTTTTTCATGTTTAGTAATTATAAGAAGTCTTATTTGTTGTTGTTATGAATGACTTCTGTTTTAGTTATAGTTGTAATGATAAGTCGGTCCAGGAAATTGCTTTTTAAGCCTTGAGCCTTAGACTCACAGGAAACTTTTTTATTTATTTATTTATTTTTTTGGTTTTTTGGTTTTTCTCCGGTACCGGGAACTGAACTCACGACCTTGCGCTTGCCAGGCAGGCACTTTTGCCGCTGAGCTAAATCCCCAGCCCCGACTCACAGGAAACTTTAAAAAGTTGGATTGTGATATGTATAGATATTCATATGGCAGAGAAGTCTGATAAAGTAATAAATTATACATCTGATAGTATAAAATACAAATTGGTCTAGGATAGAGTTCTGAAAATAAAATACAAGTCAAGAACAAACAAGGAATGAAGTAAGTCACTGGCTTTAATGAAAAGTTTGCTCCTGGCTCATCTTTTTGTGTGTGTGTTTAGGTAGAATATATACATGGACATCAACCTGCCTAAAAAAAAAGGCACACTGCATAGTTTTATACTACATTTTAAACCGGATAATTATGGGAATAAAATGTATATACTATTTAGATCCTATTAGGTATATTTAAAGGCTAGTGAAATAGTTTTGTTTTTGTTTTTGGTTTGTTTTTGCAGTCCTAGGGATCAAACTCAGGGCCCTGCATATGCTAGGCAAGTACTTTACACCTGAAGATATACCAGGGCCTTGCTGAAACAGTTTTATTGAAACAAATCGGTATCTTTGCGCTATAAAATGGAAACACTTTAAATGTCAACTTACAAATGATTGGTGAGGTGCCTCACCAACTGGTGAGGTTTTTCAGCATTCCTACAGGGAGTACATAGATGTGAAGATCGAAGAACCCTATTATTTGATGTCTTTGTGCTTCTGGCCAGACATTTGGGTGTCTTGTTCAGAGTTTATTTTCTAGGTCAACACCTATTGCAGGATTCAGATACAAAAAATAAGAAAAGAAAGAAAGCAAACCAGTGAAAAGAGATAAAGCATAATAATCCCCAGAACCTGTAAGAACAAATTCTGGAGCATTAAAGCATGAACATGTAAGGTGCACTTTCTTTAAAAAATCATGAGACCAGTGGATTAGGATGTTTATTTAACTATGGGGATCTAAAATAGTTTTACTTCTGATGTTTAAAGTAGTTGGTAGAAAAAAAGGATTTTAGCCGGGGATATAGCTCAGAGTCACAGCACCTGCCTGACAAGCTCAATGTCCTGAGTTCGATTCCTACTGTTAACCCCTATCATTTTGTTCTGAAACCCTATATCATTCTTATTGGTTTTGCTCTGTTTTGGTTTTGTCTATGTTGTTGGCATTTTTCTATTAATTTTTTAAAAATTATCCTTAAAATTAAAAAAGGATTCTAGAAGTTATGTGTGTATATTTATCAGAAAATAAGTCATTTTCTTTTCTAGAATTGATCTGGAATGTGCTAGTTACACAGAGGAACTCCTGGAAGGTCCTACCATACACAGAGAAGGATAAAAACATGATGTGGAAAATGGTTAGAACTCAAACTAAATGAACTTGAGGGTATTGATGCCTAGAAATGGATTTTCATACATGTTCCTCCAAATTTGGCAAAGATGCTACAGACATTTCTTGTTTAATAACTAAGTTCCATTCCTGCGACCAGGTTGTTAAATGAATTGGCTGGTTGCCAAATGAGGAATTATATATAGTATATACATTACAATATTCAGAACAAAGACATGGTCAAAGGAAACTCCAACTTGATTACTTTGCTTTTACTTGCATACCTCTTACATGCAATACTATAAGGCAAAACAGAACATAAACAATAGTACTTTACAGTATGATCAGCAAAAATGACAATACTGTCTAAATAAGGTATACTGTACAAAAAACACTATGAGGGGGCTGGGGATGTAGCTCAGTGGCACAAGTGCCTGCCTGGCAAGCACAAGGTCCTGAGGTCGATTCCCAGTACCAAAAAGAATTTGAGGCTCTATAAACAAGATGTACAGAACTCTACAAAAAAAAAAAAAAAAGATGGGTCATAAGTTCCAATGGCAGGCCATAAGTGCAAACAGTATGCCTTGATTGTAGGTCCAAACAGTTGTTAAATAAGTGGGTCATTAAATGAGGAATATCAGTATAGCCCAGGTGCACTGAGCAGTAGTAATTGCCTGGAATGATTTATACATTTTATATATATATATATATATATTGGCTGGGGCAATGGTTCTCAGCCAGGGGCAATTTTCCCCCAGGAAAGTTG